GAGTGTTAGAGGTCAGATCCAGGTTTTTTCAGCACAACTGGCCGTCTCTTATTTAACCTGCGCCACAAGGAAACGGCTAAAGGAAAATAGATGACAGTTAAAGCAGAAAACCCTTCGTATTTGAACCTGTGCAGCTCACAGTATGTGACGAAGGGATGATCTGGGCTGATTACTGTAAACACCTCATTCCTCTTCATTTCTTTCACTATTTTATTTATGAGAAGGGAATCACTGAGAAGTTAAAACCTTGCAGCTGTCACAAATGACTTAAGTTTGTTAGGACAATACGATTATTCGAACAACTAATGTGAAAGATTTAGATTTTCACAGCTCAAATTATCTGAAAAAATAATGGAGAATGAAGGGAAGTAAATGTTGTGTCTCCACTTCAGATTTCTGCTGTTCTCCACTTCCTGATGTGAGAGTCTGGAGAGAAGATGTTGCTGTGACGCTGATGGCACGATGAGCTGACATTTGGAGCAGAAAGGTGTGACATCAGACACCGTTACACTTCCTGTCTGCCTGTTATACATACACACACACACACACAGCCTTCAGGCCTTGCTGTTAATAACAGCTGACCTTTGCATGTTAAGGCCGTGTAATCACCACAGTGAATCTGACATCACACCTTCATTCATTCATTCTTTCATCCCTTCACTCTCTCTGTTTTACCTCAGGGGTTTATTTGTTTGTTTCTTTAGTGCATTGTCTTTTTCCTGAGTGCTCATTAATTTAAAAGTCAGTATTTTCTGTGTTATGTAATAACTAATAAGAGCTGCTAATTCAGGCTATGTTCCCCAATTCTTTCAGATTAAAATCAAACACCTTAAGTCAGGGCGCCAGAGTGCAATAAAAAATTTTAACAGTGCGGCTAATGATTTATATAGGTCACACTGGTGCACCTGATGCTGCCCGGGTGAAAACACAAGAGTGCGGGCAGGTCTTTGTCTCTGATTGGCTGTGCTCCTGATCACTGCCCTAAGTTGTTTGTTGTGCATCACAGAAGCTGAAACGGAAGAAAAGTAAACTGGAAAAACACACAGGCTCTCGGTTCTTGGTGAAGGTGACCTCATGATGTTAAAGACAACACTAAAACATTTGGGTGCTCCTTAATTGTGTGCTGGGCCACGTAAAAAAAAAAAAAGTTGCACCAGTGCGACCAATGCAACAAAGTTAGTCCAGAGACCTGCCTTAAGTGCTAATACTTGGAGGAGAAAAAAAAGATGTTAAATTTGAGGAATAATTTATTTAAAACTACATAAGTGCAGATGTGAACATGAAATTGTATTATACTGTGGAAAATAAATTAGGATAAACATAGTGATAGTAATACTACTACTGTGTGTACAGACAGATCACTACAATGATGTTTTGATGCTAAAACTAAAAAAAACTCTAACCAGTACTCACTGTGACAGTAACATGTCATACTGAATAAATACTGAAGTCATATGTTTACTGATGCAGGACGATACTTAGGCCTGTGACGATAATACATTTTTCTGGATGATATACTGTACCACAAAGTATGGCTGATAAACACTATTATTGCCAACATTATTTTGAGACCTAAAATAACCACTAATGTAATACTATATCTATATAATTGAAGTACAACCTTTTAAATGCAATAAACTATTATCATCGTGAGTATTTTTACAATTGGAATTGGAATGTCGAGAATGTTTACATATCCTAAATGAAACATACAAAACAATAAACAAAATAAAATGAACCGTCAACTGGATTGTTGGCAAAAATTGCACTTGAATAAAAGTGCAGCCAAATACAATAAATAGACATTATCTCTGAAAAAAAAACCCCACTCAAATATAAAACCCCACACAACCAAAGAAATACAAGAAATGTCTTATGTCTCAACAAATAAAATTGTACTTTAATAAATACTGAACATTCAGGCTCAGAGGTATAGCTCAGAGTTGTACATTCCTTAACTGTCTGTCAAATGTTTCTTTGGTGATGTAGTAAACTGGTCAGGTGGATGTGTTTGTTGTGTTGCCTTTTTTTGTTGCCACCACTTTCAAACAATGGCTTGTCCATGTTGGACTCATTCAGTTTGAAACTGAAAAATCCCCACACCTGTGTTGTAGTATTTGACTTAGAAATCATCTTTTTTCTTCCTAATATTATCTGTTACCTTGCGTTGCTCCTCAGGGGCCTGACTTGCTGTACTCTGTGTCTTCTAGCAGCCCCGCCTCCCCCCACAAAGAGTGGATGACTGACAGGAGGGTTCACTCTGCTCATCATGCTATGGAACAAACACGCCCGGGTGCTGAGACCAATGCACAGAGTGAACCCTCTGGTCATCCAGACTGTTTGGAGGCGAGAGGAAAAGGAGGAAAACAAACACGCGTGCACGTACTAATGTATGGTCAATTGATCAAGTTCATTGTCATTTATGGTTGAGTTGATTTCTTTTCATCCCAGTCTAATGATGTGGTACTGGTACTGCTGCAGTTGTCTGTGGGACTCCACCACATTCTGTTTCGACTCTCTTTGGTAGTTGTGAGACGTTGGTGCAGGGTCAGCTGAAGGTCAGTCTGAGCGTTTCTCATCTGTGTGGGATTTGAACCGTCAACCTTTAGGTCCAGTCCTCTTGTTGCTGCTGTTCATTTTCTCCGGGATGGAGATAAACTGGTGTTTACACTGAGTGTCACACAGAGTCAAGCATAGCTGTGTGTGTGTGTGTGTGTGAGTGTGTGTGAGTGTGTGTGTGAGTGTGTAGTACTGTCCCTGTAGTTGTAGAAAACAAACCAGTTCTTAAATGTTGTACATTTATTCAAGTTGAAGTGTGTTTGAAAGGTTGAAAGAGCCTTAAATAGACTTGTTGTAGTTAATTCAAGCGTGTGTGCGTACATGTGTGCATACATGCGCACGTGTGTGCACGTTGGGCAGGTGTTGTTTGTCACCACCCTCCATCCATCAAGTCAAATGAGCGAATGACAGGAAGAACAAAAACAAATCCCCTGCTCCAGGAATAAATGGATGCTGCCGACCAATGACAAGTGTTTATGTGTGTGTGACAAACATACACACAACCACCAATGGATATAATTCAGACTTATTGGTTGTTTTCACTGCTGGTGACAGAATTTAAAGCTGTTCAGACTCTAAGACGTTTTTAAGTTGTAGTTCTTGTGACTCTACGTGGCTTTGCTCACAAAGTCTGTCTGTTCTTGGTGAATTCAGTTAACCTGGTCTGGTTCTTGGTCTCCGATTTATTACTGGTCTCTTTGATCTTATTTTAAAACGTCGTTAGTTAAATGTTGTGTTAGGTACATCTTAACTCAGTCGTCTGAATCTCCATCAACGTGACCTGAGCAGCTGATTTTTGGACACATTTTTGAATCGGTTCATTTCTTTTTCAAGTTTATGGATTAAAAACTAAATGTTGATGTTCACGATAGGATACAAACACTGCACTGCATCACCTTTTATATCCTCTGAAAGGAAAGTCTGATCTTATTTGCTTCGCTAACTGTCAATGTATTAAACAACGATAGATATAAAAAATATATTAACCAAAATGCGTTCCACTCTTTACAGAAGCACTGGAGAACACTGTCTGTGTCCTCTTGACGCTGAAGTCCTTATACATTTTAAATACAAAAAGGATCATGCAAACTAAGGGCACAATGAGTGACAACGTTGGGTTTTACTCATCACCCAGCACCAGTGCTTAATTTGTAAAGCAGAGAACGGCTGGTTTGACTCATATTCTGTTTAAATTGTGACATGAAAGTGTGGAGCCAACGTTGGCCCTAACGCAGTGGTGGCTGTCTTTAAAGGTTTGATATGTTTTGTGATCTTCTCTGCGTGACGGACGACCAAGTCGAGCTGACTTCACGGTCATCATGTCAACGTCAGGTCTTAGTAGAGCAGGGGTCACAGCCAGGTACAGTGTGAGACAGCACTCAATCATGTCTAGGCTGATATACCAGCGTGTGGTTAACGTCCACGTTTGCCCTGTAAACTGAGAATCCAAAATGTCACCACACGCTGCTCGGGGCAGCTTCTATGATAACACTACTGCTTGCCACCGCCAGACCGTCCTACGCTCTGTGAACACATACCACTACTAACTGTACTGGAGAGTGTAGAGTCAAGGTATGACCAGTGACTTTTGAAATGACGCAGCCCACTGTTTGTTTATTTTTAATTAATGCAAATCATTACACATTTGAATCAATTCATCATAAGAATTATCAAGTCTTTAAGTCATAATACTGACTGACCTTCTACACCCCATGTAGTGTAGAGCAGACCAGATGGTGTGTGTTTATCCCCCACCTTTTCTCCTGTGACTTTATTTACTTCTAATTTATTCCTTCATCTTTGTCTGTTTCTATGTTAAAATGTATTTTCAAAACTGCAGGATTATGATGGTGTTTGGACGAAAAAACATGGCAGTGGCAACAGTCGACTTTTATTGTGAAAAGACACAGGTTGTGACACTGTGACATCAGTTTTTATCAGATAAATATTTTTTAACACGCTTCACTGTCCCAGACATCCTCCTCCCTTTCTCTCATTTCATTACCCATCAACCTCTGCTCCCTCTCTCCGTCTGTCTTCTTTAAAGGCCCATCATTTCATCATGTTACATTTCTTTGACTTGTCTGTCCATCTTCATCATCATCTGTCCCTTTATCGTCCTCTTTATTCCCCCCTCTGTCTCCTCTCACATCTTTCAGTCTCTCTTCGTGCTCCGTCACCTTTTCATCCGTCCCCGTCGCCCCCTTCACTTCCTGTCCATTCTTTTTCATCTCCTCCTCCTCCTTTTTCTCCTCCTCTGTCCATTGCTCTGTGTTTCTGTCTCCATTAGGAGGAAATGGAAAAAGTGACATCAGCTATTTGGTAAACGGAGAGAGATGAAGAGTGAGAGAGAGGAGAGGGGGGAGAGAATGGATGGGAAATAAGTGGAGGGAAAAATGGAAAGTCCAGATCAAGGACTGAGAAGAAGAATAAGAACCAAGGAGTAGGGGGAGAAAAAAGAGAGAGAGAGAAATCAGAAAAGGAGAGTGGGGGTGGATAGGAGGCGCTCCACCTCATTAACCAGGTAATGCAGAGTAAATACACTGTACTGACTAAATGGAAAATTGACCATGTCTCTCTCTGTGTGTGTGTGTGTGTGTGTACACAGTGTGTGACAGTGATCAACATCAAAAGAACCAAAGTCTGTGTGTTTCTATGTTTGAGTCGATGAGATCTTCACTCTGATGTAGGCCTGGGTGATATGGACCAAAAATTAGATCTCAATGTTTTTCTTGTAAATCTCCAGATACTGTATTCAGCATCTGGAGACAGAGAGCAGAGCCACATGTTCTGAATTACACAGGGATTTGAACTGTTAAGATAAACAAACATGATAACAAACATATTCATATTGTAATGCCAGCAATGGTTTTATTTCAACAACAGGATGAGTTCCACACAGTGTAATTGTCCTAATACCTCACCCCCCCCCTTTACTCTCAGTTGTATCACACACTAACTCTCCCTTTATGTCACTATTGCAAGTGATAAAAGAAACATGTTGTGGCTCCCACTTTTGGTTTGAACTTTTTTTTTGACAGAACATGTTGTTTTGCTGCTCTTCTGACCCTGTGAAAATGGAATTTTATTTTATTTGACTCAACTTGTAAATATTGTTATGGTCAAGTGAATATAGTGATAAAAAGATTCTCATAACACTTTGACCACAAATTGACCCATATATTAAAAATAGACTATACTGTATATCACCCAGCTCTACAATGGGAGTTGCAGAAGTATTTTTATTGATTTTATTTTTTTATTATTGTGAATGGACCAACATTTGTGGTGTAACTGTGAGATGGTGTGAATGTAGGTGAAGAGGGTCAGTGTGTAAAGGTCAGAGCTGAGGCCGTAGTGTGATCAGACTTTAGTGCTGGTGTACTTTTGACTTCAGCTTATACTAGCACATGTATTCACTCTAATGTTTACCACTCAGGTGTTAGCATGCTCCTGAATTTACAGTGGTCACGTTGGCACAGTTTTCTGTCTGAGTCCAACAACAGGAAATGCCACCTTAGCCTCTCTGTGTTATGCTGCCGTGTGTGTGTGTGTGTGACAGAGAAAAACACACCAGCAGGATGTTATTGGTATAATACTGTATATTTGCAGCTCAAACCTAAAGAACAGTGACAGACTGATCAGAAAACAAATAATTAAAAAAAAAAAAACAGGTGAAAAAATTGTTTTCTATCTACATGCCCCCCCCCCAACCCCCCCCCATGTGCTCCCACACAAATCAACAAAAAAAGGAACAAAAACACACAGTGGAACAAACTGCAACACAACAGACTGCACACTTCAGTCAAAGGGTACTGAGGGAACAAAAGGTTCTGGTTTTTGGACAGAGCTGAGGAGCATTTGTTTTATTCAGCTCTGGTTGGTTACTGAGGCAGAGTTCTACCTTATTTAAATGGAGATTGTGCTGATGAGTGGACACTGGAGCTGTTCACTGACACATTTAATCTAAGAGTCAACAGTGGGAACTGAGCCTCTGTAACAAAACCAAAATTATTTTTTTCTGAAATAGTGCAGGATGTAAGCATCCAAGCCACACTGTATTCTAAACGGGGGCAGCAGAACGCACTTTAAAGTAAAGTAAAGAGTTTTTAAAAACGTTACATGGAGGTTTTTACACAAGGAAGTAAACCTTGAACTTCATAGTCACAGAGCAGAGGACAATGACACCAACAGAGTTTGAACAATGAGAGGAAATAATTTAACCATGTTTAAGACAAAGCTGTAAAAAACTGATCAGCATCAAGAAAAGAAAAGTTTATTATTACTTTAAAACCTGTGTTTCAGAAATAAACTTCACCCTCAGATGGGAAGATATAAAAGAGTTTATACAATGAACAGCTGCTTCCAAAATATTCAGAAGGATTCCTTCTGAAAAAGAGAGAGAATAATGGAAATAGAAGTTAGGAATTGTGGGGAGAAAGAGGAAGTAGATTTATAGAAAAGGGAAGTAGAAATGAGCTGAAGAGATTGTTTTATCATGCATGTCTGTGTGGAGAAACCAAAAAACAATCAAATCATAACCAATACCTGTGTTCATATTAACATCCACAGTCATTTTAGGCCATGCAGCCAGATTTAATGAATACTGAATAGATGTTTCTCCATCATCACGAATTAAAGGCTAAGGGCTAACATGACAGTTAGCCATACCAGATAGAAACAGTTCCATCCGGGTCAAAGCTGGTCAGACCTGATGAGTCAGCTGTTCTTGTCACATGACTACACCTGTGTTCATATCAAGTGTTTGGTTTCAAACAGGACATGTTTAGAAAACAGACAGTTGTGTGTCTTCACACTAATGTTGTGGTTACAGAGAGGTAAAAGATTAGTGGAGATACAGTATCTTTGCGTGTTAACTGCAGTTGTTGGTCACATACTGCTCCACTGGAAAAGAAAAACATGAAAAAACCCAATGGATCAATTTGACCTCAAGTCCAAATTCTGCACTAGGGTGTAACAACCAAAAGGACTGGACACAGGTCCCTTGAGCTCCTTTTTGTCAGTGATCTTTCAGTAGGATGACACTGGATTGAGAAAAACTGAACCTTTTTGTTAAAAGCAGTTTTTATTCTGGTCCTGTGAGTCAAGTCTTCAGTCTGACCAAGTTGATGTCTCAACTTTAGTACCAAATGTTTTCTTTAGGACTGAGAGGGTTCCATTCCTGCATCTTGACGTGTTTTTTCTTTGTGACAAAACTCTTAACTTTAGTCCTGAAAATGTGGATTGACAACGAGGGGAACAAGTAAAGTTTGTCTAAAAAGGAGAAGATAGTGGAGAAGAGATAAAAGTTGAACACGGCCCCTAAAGTGTTTTCAGAAAGTGGGGGTGTGTCTCGTAGTAGTCTTATTGTTCCTCTGCTTAGTCATCAAAAAAAACAACACAATTGTTGCAAAGGTACGATTCCCAACAAACTGGCCGATGGAATTCTTCTTTGTAGCAGGCGTCTAGATGATGCAGAGTCAGTGGGTCTAAAACATCAGTGGAGTTTTCAGGAATGACCGTGAATCTGGGGAACAAGAAAAAATATTTAATTTGACAAATGTCCTTTGATTGTTCTGGTCTATTACAGCTCTGGTCAGTTAAAAAACGAATATATGTAATGTATGTAATTGTGACCAACTAATCTTTTCTTTATGCATTAGTTTTCACTCTTCCTGACTATATTTAGGCTCTTTGTTAGTTTTACACCTGTGTTAGCCTTTATCTTAACTCAAGCACACCTCTCACACCACAGTCCATAGATGATGCTGTATCCTTCACTGAGTTATTTTGTGACTTTGTGACTTACCTCAGTAACATTAACTGGAGGCGGTAATGGACCAGCTGCTCTTGAGTCTGTGAGCTAAAATCACTGGTTTTCTCTGTGGACTTTGGTCTGTGAGCTAAGATCACTGATTTTCTCCATGGACTTTGGTGTGGCTGAATCAGTGGTTTACAAATTTACAAACTTTCCATATGGAAATGTCTGAGGCTAAATTAAAGTCGTGAACATGTTTGTAGGATTTTGTGGAAGGCCCGGGGCTGATTCTCCCAGCAGGGGGCGCTCACTCACAGAGCTGTTGTGCTAATTAAATCAGGATATAGTTGAACTCTGTTGGCTCATTTTATGATTGAAATCTCTTCTCTCTCATTTTGCTCCGGTCGGCGCTCTCTCTCTTCTCTACCTCCTTCACTTCACCTCCTTCCTGCTCCCTGTGGTGCTGTTGCTGCACCCACCCACGCAGGAGCATGTGCACGTGTACGCCACACACACACATGCACACCTTCCCCTCCCTGTGGTGTCATTGTTTTCTGCGGACGTTGCAAAGTGTTTACATTTCTGCATAACAGCAGCCATAAACCTGCTCTTCCTCCCTTCTGCTCCTCCTCCTCTATGTTCCTCCCTATCTCCTCACCTCCTCACCTTATTTTTTTCTTCAACATATGAATCAGGTTCCAGTTTGTTTGTTTTTTTAACTTTGTAAATTTGCTCTTTCTCCATCTTTTTCCTTCTCTCTACTTTTTTCCCATTATTTTCCCATTTTTGTCACTAATCCATGCTACATTTTCCCATTTTTGTCACTAATCCATGCTTTTAGAGCCCTCCTCGTCTGCAGGTCTCCTCCTCCTCAGCCCTCGCTCCCTATCTGTTCCCTTCATCCTGTTTTTATCTTCTCTCTGTCCTCTTTATCTTCTTTAATTTTTTTTCCTTAGCAGCAGATGTTTATCAGTTTGTAAACAGTCACCTATCACAATGGTAGTTTACTGTGGACTCTCATTAATAACAGCAGGAGTCACAACTGACTCAGAAGTTAATATAGCGAAAGTTTTGCGAGATCAGATTAAATCTGCGATCTGCTGAGGGAGCGAAAGGAGAACTGCGATATAGAGAGGGAACACTGTATATATAAAAATAATAAATATCAAATATAAACTGGTTAATTCTGGAAAAAATGCAATATCTGCATTTATATCATCAATAATTTCCCTCAGAAGCTAGAACATTTATTTTGTTTTATATTATTTGTAGAAATATGAACAAACCCAGCTCCAACACGTTACATTCACATTATATTCATGAGAACAAATGTTGATGATGATGAACCGCAAACTCATCTCTCATAATTTAATCTTTTAATTCTGAAAGCTATTTTCTTAACTTTTTTGTTGATTAATTCAGTTTCCAGAAGTTTGTGCCTGCAGTGATTCACCTCCATCACTGCTGAGAAAACAAATGTATTTTCTGTCCTTCTATCATTAAATCAATGTGTGTGTAAACAAATGTAGACAGAGATCAGGTTGTAACACAGACTTAGATTCTTATTAGATCATATTAAGTGTGTGTGTGTGAGAGAGAGAGAGAGAGAGAGAGAGAGAGAACAGGAAGAAAAACATTTTATAAAAACACTCAAATCACTTTTATTTCTTCATCCTGTGTCACCACCCTGACCTGTTTTCCTGTTTCACTCGCTAACACACACCTATACTGCGTGTGTGTGTGTGTGTGAGTGTGTGTTCTTCTGATTTAAAAATGGAGCTGACCTTCCTCATTAAGTCTCAGATCAGCTGTTGTTGAAAATGTCACCAGGTCCTGGAACAAGGTCACATTTTTCATTTTCTCCTTCAGCACAAAGCTGCTCCTCCCTGTTCTTTCTCTTGTCCTCCTTTACCTCCTCCTCTGTATTAATACTTTTCCTCCTTCACCTCTCCTTCCCACCTCCTCTTTTTATACATTTCTCCAGCTTCTATTTCTTTTTTCCTCTGACTCTTTCCTTCTCTTTTTCTTCTCATTACTGTTCTCCTCCTTCACCTCCTCTTTTCCACTGTCTTCTTCTTCTGTCCATCCAAATATCTAACTTTGATTCCCTTCTTCTTCCACCTTCATGTCCTCCTCTTCTCTGTTCAGACTGTAACTCCTTCATTTTTCTGTCCTTGTTTTTTTAGTCTTTCATTCTTCTTTTTTCTTACTTTATCCTCTTCTTCTACATCATTCCATTTTTCTCTCTTTCTTGGACCAATTAGTCACTTTTTTCTGAACAAGGCCAAAGAAACGGTCTCCTCTTCTTCTTCCTGGTTTTCCCTTGTTTCTGATTGTAATGTGATCTTTGTGCTCAGCACTTTTTCAGCTTCACTCCTTAATTAAGTGTGCGTGCGTGTGTGTGTGTGTGTGTGTGCCACATTGAGTGTAAAATTTTACACAAGCAAGAAGAATGAGTGTGTGTTTGTGAAGGTCCTACTGGGCCAATCAACATTAATGAAATCAGCTGTGTGTGTGTGTGTGTGTTTTACACAAACAAGAGGATGTAAAAGGGGACTAAAGAGGAGAGAGATAATTAGCGTTCAGTCTCACCAGAGTGTGGATTAAACACACACACACTCCAATGTCTGTGTGTGTGTGTGTAGACATCCTTCAACACTTCATAGTTTCAATGTCAGACTGGACTGAGCACAGCTGGTGTACTAGCTGCATACTAACCCTGCCTCTCTCTCCCTCTCTCTCCCACACACCTGTACTGGTGCAGCCTCTTAATGACAGAAGACACTCACCCAACAATCCATTCAAACACTACAGTAAAGTCTAATATCCAGTGATTCTTCACGTCATCGTGTCACCATCAACCAAATCTAAATCTCCTCTTCCCTAAGTTTATTGAATATATCCTTTACTTCCCCCTCATTCAGTGAGCGCCCCCTGTGGCTCACTGTTAGTAAACTGCAGTCTGTCAGTGATTTAGGGGTGTCTTGACTGGGTTCATGTTGTTTTCATACAGATCCTTTATACGTCAGAATCAGACAACCCAGGTGGTTTTACCTTGACGTGTTTGGATGGTGAGCTCCTGTCGTCCTCAGTGTCACGTCATGTTAACTCCTTATCTGCTGTTTTTACTAAGTCTGCCAATATTGACAGTGCCAACACGTCTCTGTCTGTAAAAGTCCTCCCTCATCTTGGTTCATTGTTCTTGTTGCGTGGTTGTCAAGGTCGAAACATGTCAAGGTAAAACCACCTGGATTGTCTGATGATGAGAGAACTGTAGTATAACTGTAGTATAACTG